CGGACATGGTCGTCGTGAGTCGAGGGGGAGGGGCCGACAGGCGGCGCGGACCGAGAGGTAGTTTGTGTGGAGGGTGACAGAGGCGGCTGTGTAGGGGGAGGGGGAGAGGGAGGGGGGAGAGTCTATGGCACTTAAATCTGAAGAAGTTGGACTGGGACAGCCTCCTCCTTGAAGGTAGCGAATGCACTTCTTTTTCCTCCTAGGGACAGTCAGAGAGAGTTATCTGTGAATAGAGTGTGGATGGTAAACGTCAGCAGGCTGTAATGAAGATGCAGCATTCACACTGATGTCACAAACAGGAACACACACTGATGTCACAAACAGGAACACACACTGATGTCACAAACAGGAACACACACGGTCGTCACGAACAACACACATGTATTAGTGACGAGCTCTGTACACTATGTCAATGAAGATACAAAAACACACAACAATATATTTATGGAGTTTTAGGATCCTGACTATTTTATAGATTTAAAATACATTAAATGGAAATATCAGTGGACTTCTACGTCTTTTAGTAGGGTAAAAATAAAAGCAATACTGGTGTTAATCTAAAGAAAATACAACATTTTGTGAAATTTGCTTATTTGATTTCTTGCTGAGAACATATTCATATTCATGTCTATGCCAAATGTGTGTTATTAAACTAGGGCCAGAAGGTTTAGCTTAGCTTAGCATAACGACTGGAGTCAGGGACATTTAGCCTAACCTGTCCAAAGTACAAAATGGCACCCATCAACACCTTCACAAACTGACTGGTTAACATGTTGTATCTTGATGGATTGAGAGAGATGTTAAAGCAACCTTTTTGGTTTTAAGGATTTCAACACGATAGAAGTAATCTAGGCCAACAACATTGGGGCCTCCTGGAGTTGTGTGAATTCTTTACATGAATGCCTGTGTTCCAGCTAAACAATTAAAAAAACTAAATGATAAGTGAGCTTTCAAGATGTTAGAAGGTGCATTTTTGAACTTTGGAAAGAGTCAGGCTAGCTGTTTCCAGGCTACATGCTATGAGGATTGCTTTAAAGGTCCCATGTCATGCTTTTCCGGTTATTACCCATCCCCAGCAGAGTCACAAACCCTCAAAGTACACCCTGTAGCGAGTAAATCTCTAACACAGGAAAGACCTGTCTATGCTGCCCCAGAACGCCTCGTTGGAGATTTCTCTTTTTCCATTGTTTACTTCTTGGATATAGCGACGTATTTCGGGTATAGTGACGTTACGTTACGTCCGCGGACCCGTTACGTTTGGACCAATCCGCGGACCTCCTCACACACACACACTCGGCGGGATGTTGCGAGGCTCGCTGCTGCGAGGAGCGGGACAGTGTGAGCTGGCTCACATGGTGTGGGGTCGGCGAGACAGCGAGACACCGCGGAACTCAGTCTGAGCACACACACAAACTCCCAGCCAGGCTGCGGGTGTGTGTTTCGGGCTGGGTTTCGCCGTGTAGGACAGAGAGAGAATACCGGTGAATACACATACTATACAGAGATGCTGTATGAGAAACCAATGTGAGTTTGGAAAATTGCACAATATAAATCTATTTTAGTAGACCTCAACAATGGAATTATGATCAGTAGAAATGGCCATGACATGGGACCTTTAATACTGTATTTAACTGCAGGACTACCACTGAAATGTACATTTAATCACCTTAATGCTAGTTTTTGTGAGTGTCATGGTGGTAAACAATGAACACTCATGAGATAAGATATTGGTAGAGAGGAGAATTTGGAGCAAGGAGAGAAGACGAGGCAGAAGACGAGAGAGATAAGACGAAAGGAGGTAGACACAAATACAGTACGACACCGGACACCGAGGTCTGGGCCCGCGAGAGGATTCTTTACGACCGCTGAGCGAAGCGGACTTGGGTTGGTTTGCCTGACACCGCAGGGACGGTCACACATTGGTTGGTGTAGGTCGACGGTCGGTAGCAGGTATCGTTTGCGTGGGCAGCAGGAGTCGTCCGTTTGGCGGTAGAAGGCGGTGGATGATTGGTGGACAGGTAATGTCTCGTGGTGAGGGAGACTACCTCCTGTCAATTAAGTTTGGTAAGGAGTTTCCGGCTCGGGGAGGGATCTCACTTGTCATATGCAGCGAGGTTTAATTGGGTTCGTAAGTCGGAACAAAATTATGAGTGTTCGTGTTGGGTGAAACCTATAGAGTTTGGTACTATAACAAAACGGAGTTCTGTTCGCGGCGGAACTTTCTTCAACTTTACGTTCGGACGAAGAGACGTACAAGACAGGTGGATGCACAACGAAGACGGTTTACATTCGGAATTATCGGTATCTGGTACATCAATATATCATTATCTTCTCTGCGGACCATATACTGTAAGGATGTGCCAAGCCTTTTATTGCTGGTTTTGTTAGGGGTTGTAAGGAACGTCGTTGTACTATAGCGCGCGAGTCAGTCGTTACCGACTGTATATTCTCAGTTACGACAAAGGGAGACTGGATATCCACTCGCGCGAAGGGTTCCACTTCTGTGGGAAAGGTACCAACAATGGTCTGTATTAGACATATAGAGAAATTTCCTGGCCTCACTCGAAACCGCGAGACATGCGTAACGTAACGTCGTATGCCGGGGAGTTACGCATAATTTTCCCTTATTTAAATTCATGACGTTCCCTCACTATAGTCTCTCTTTGTAATGTTTATAAAGACATAAAAAAAAAAGGGAATAATAATATTAACTGAGTCTTGTAAGACTCAGCATTTAATTCTGGCATGTTGGCTATAACGTTACAGTTTTTGTCTCCCTCTCGCGACCTCGTAAATTTGTTTTATTTCCAATATTAGCAGTGTTGTACAAGCCAGGATCATCTGTGATACTTGTTTAGTTAGTCGAAAACAATGGTCGAACGTATGTACACTGCAAGTGTTTATTGGGAAGTTTAACATTAACTTCGATACTGTGATTTGAGAGTTACACAAAGTCATTGGTTCTATACGTTTACTTACTACTTGTAGCGACCTTTGGGTATAAAGAGTCAAAAGGACGAAATTTATGTTCGGACTTATTAAAACAAAGTTTAAGAATTTTCTATTTATAGTTCAATTTTTGTCTTATGACCAAATGTTTACAATCAAGTTTTATTATTTCATGAAAGTCTCGACAGTGGTTGTGCATAAAGGGTTGTAACTGAGGGGTACAAAAGTAAGGACTGAAAAGGACATTTAAACGTTGTTGGACAAGAGACAATTACTTAGTCTTTGTACCAATACTACGCAATATTTAGTCTTTGGTGCGGCAGAGCAGGGCAGAGCCAGAGCAGAGTCCTTAATGTCATCCCTCCCGTCGAAAGAGACGTCTCAGCCCACCAAGACGTCGAGCGTCCGCAGAGGGAGCGGCGAGTGCAGTACCTTTAGAGTGACACCAAGTGAAGACTCTCTTGTTTCCCCCCACCTTAACCAATAGTCGTATAGGAATAGTGGTGTCGAGGTGTGTGTGTATGGTGTGTGTACGGTGTGTGTGTGTGTGTGTGTGTGTTGTGTGTGTGTGTGTGTGTAGATGTGTGTGTGTGTTGTGGATGTGTGTGTGTGTGTGTGTGTGTGTGTTGTGTGGTGTGTGTGTGGTAGGGACGTCGAACGTAAAACTGCCGCAAGAGTACGGGTAGACGAAAGTTGAGAGGGGTAAGTACGCTCGCATTTGTCCCGCGCGAAACTACCACTTGGAGACTGTAAATCTTTAGTGAAAATAGGCGTGAGACGGAGGGGGGGGGAGAGATTTAAACCGGGTCGCGGAAAGGAACGCCAATCCTTGGCACTAGTATAGTATAAGACCATATTACTAGTACCCTACGGGACAACTCTCGACGAAACGTACGACGGCGAGACTCATATTGTTGGAGCTCTTCGAGTAGCGACGAGTCTCTGGTCAAGTTATACAGACGACGGTTGATCTCCTAGTAGGTTAATTAGGAATANGCCTTTCTTAAAAATGGATATTCAGGGTTCCCAGCTTTGCTTGCAGATGATGTTCACCTCTTCTATGTGGCATACTGTTGACTTTTAATCCTCCTCTAAATAAATTTAGAGGAGGATTAAAAGTCAACAGTATGCCACATAGAAGAGGTGAACATCATCTGCAAGCAAAGCTGGGAACCCTGAATATCCATTTTTAAGAAAGGCAGCTCAGGACTGTGTTATGCATATAAACAGTGGCGGCTGGTGGAAAATATTTTTGGTGGGGCTATGGAAATGGTGACAAAACCATACTAGGGCATTTAAAATCAGGAGACTAAATACGAACATTGATGTGTGTGTGTGTGTGTGTGTGTGTGTGTGTGTGTGTGTGTGTGTGTGTGTGTGTGTGTGTGTGTGTGTGTGTGTGTGTGTGTGTGTGTCATACTTGCCAACCCTCCCGATTTTCGCGGGAGACTCCCGCATTTCTACCGATTTCTGACAAAATCAGATTTACTCACGACTGTTTCCACTCGGACTTTAATATAGGTACACCATTGTTTGGTTTCCATGGTAGCGCGTCTCTTTATCAGCGCGCGCAACTCAAAGTCTGAGATGAGGAAGATGAAAACTGAACAAGAATCGAAAACTCGACCATCTGATCACTCTTTTCCTGTAAAATACAGGTACAGCCCACGCATATGCTCCATGGTGCCACAGGCATTGCCCTTACAGCTACAATAAGCATGCAAATGTTAATCTACAGCTCCCGCGATCCACTAGCACCGGAGTCTACAACTGCAAACGCAGCCATCCCCTACTGTAGCGTCACCTTGGATACGAGTCTAAACAGACACACAGGACAGGGCGCTGAAAGGGCGCCCTTTGAGCATCAGATCCGACGACGCTGATTGGCTGAAATTATGTTTCGGCGGCATAGTTTACAGATAGCAACAGTCAGCTTGTTGGCTGCAGCTGCTCTGGCTGAGGGCTCTTTTCTTCCTCCAGGACGAGAGAGGGTAATGATACACGCTGCGGCCAGCCAGGAAACATGTGACTTATCAGTAACTTTAGACATAGTAAAACAATTTTAAACAAGATTTTATTGTAGATTATACATTTTACTGATACCAACTATATAATATTTACCTTGTTCTTTAAAAATAAAAATAAAAATAAAAAAAATATATTTTTTGGAAATATATTTTTTTATTAATTTTTAATTTTTAATGACAATCAAACATGTGGGAAGAGGGGGGGCGGCGCCCCTAGCGCCCCTATGGGCCGGCCGCCACTGCATATAAAATATGCATTTTTGTATTCTTATGGCATAACATTATGGTGGCTCGTATTTCTTGACTCAAACCATACTTATGGTATTCGGAAACGTATTTAAATTTGAAACTGACAAAGAAAATTAACATATCAATGCATTTGAGTATATATTTGACATTTGTGAGATTTTACATTGTATTCAATTTTGTTTTAATATTTTGAGTAAAGAATAAATTAGGTTAAAGGCAGTCTATGGTTAAAGGTGATTTTGGGAATTATTCTGCACTTCATCTTCCATTACAATGAAATGACACCCACAATACTTAATCTGAAGGCCCATTCTGCAGAGTGACTGCCAGCAGAGGGCGGAATGTATCTGCTTCATGGTGATGCTTCCAGTTCCAGGTAATTATTATTATTAGGACAACCCACTAACCCAACCCACAGCCAATTGTTTTTCTTTCATTGCATGTTTTAAACACATTCAGAAATATCATAAAATAGTCGTGGTGGTGGTTTGGTTTATGACCATAAAACACACAATAAAACCCACCTGGTGCGACCTGTAAGAGGAAACAGCCGCCGAGGCCCCGCCCACCACATAGCTCAGCCCTATGATAGTTGACGTTACCAAGGAGACTTTCCCGGAGGAGATCAACAGTGTTTCAGTTTACAGCAACGTGATGGCTTTTCTTAGTCAAAACATTGACAGGGCAACACGTAAACCTCAAATAGCTCTGTCATTTGTGCAATAGAAAAGTGGTAGATTAATACTTCATACTTATGACTGCTGACGGACATTTTTACAAAAACGTTTGAGCTAATGCTGCGCAACAATGAATGATATCCTGCCTACATAACGAATGAAGGTAAAGTAAACTGACACTAACGGTACAACATGTTTTGCAGCTTTTGCTTTCATTTTGACTCATAGGTTTTAACGTTACCGATAAAAAGTTAATATGTAAATGTTTTTTCCATTCATTCATTGATGTTTAATGTATTTCATTCTCAGTCTCATTAAAGTTGAAGAAGATGGAACGACTAAAACAGGTAACGTTAGCCTTTCTAGCTAAAGTTTAACTGTTGGCTACATTGTCATTGTGGAATTACTTTTATGTATAATATATTGTCTGATAGAGGCCTATATGATACCAGCTATGCCTCTGTCCAGCTAGATTTGCTTAAATTTTTTTACATTGCAGCTTCTCTGAACATTGTTGATATATGGCCTGTTTTTAACTGTATTAACTGTATTGACTTGTATGAATTCTGCATGCAGATGGTAGGTATTTATAGTCACTTTAAAAGAACAATACAATGCATATTTGTCACATAAGGTAAAGTACTGTAACTGGGAAATAGTGTCTCAATAGGCACTTGATTGCATCTTGTAACACTACGTAATAAACAAGGCTTATTTAAAATATATAAAAAAATAGGATTTATTTGTTTATTATAATGTGCAAATACAAGTCAAACAAGTGCCAGTGGTCCTATGTGTTGCAAGCCTCAATGTTTGTGTCCTAACCACAGATGGAGGATGACTCTATCTACAATATGAGTCAGAGCAGAGGATACCCTGTTCCCCCACCTCTGCCCATGGCTTGCAATGCGGAACCGTCAGAATTGTACCAAGTAAGAATACCAATCACTATCATATACACAAATGCTTCAGAGAAACCTGTTTTTTTTTTTTAAACCTTGCTAACAAACACAATTTTAAAATTCATGTTGTTATTTTTTTCCCCAGCTGGTCTCAAAGCACAGTCATTACCCACCCATCCTCCAGTCCAATTCTTGGACACTTGCAGTTCCCTTTAAAGAGCAACATTACCATCGTACTCCCAGTGAGTCTATTGGAAATAACTACAGTTCCCGGGCTCAGGACTTAAAGATTATTAAACTCCAACACCGACGACACTCTTTCCGCCAGACCTTGGCAAAACCTGCAGGGCCTTGTATCCTTTCATGTTCTTCTCATATCAAACACCGGTCTGTGTGGCTACTCTGCAACTGTCTGAAACTGCCATATTATTTGTCATCTGATTACATTTTAAAAGATGAACACTGTTTTGGAAAACAAATGGCTTTTTTGTCTTAATGAGGTTTCTAGCATGTGCCCCACCTGGAAAGAGACTAGCAATAACACCAAGAAGAAGGTTATTATGCTTATTAAAGCAACTCTAAATACAGTTTATCTTTTAAGGTGTTCTTTAAACCCTTGATCTGATTTGTTTATGCTTTCACAGGGATACATCTCCCCATGCCTCACTCTCGCCTCGGCCAAAGTCTCGATCGAGGCACGTTCGTACTCCCCGCAGCCGGCCCATGAGCCCTAAAGAGCAGCTGGACATCATGAACAGCCAAGAGGAGAAGAGGAAGGCCATACAGGCAGACCCTAATGAGAAAGACCTGAAAGCAAGTAGCAAGGAAATCATAAATGAACATGTGACTCCCTGATTAGAATCTTTTGACTCTTGCTTTACTGATACATTTCAATACATTTTACTCACACAGAGGTATATGTACTACATCACCACTGGTGTCCCGAGCTCTGTGCTGGCCCCTATGCCACGGCAGCAGATGATGAGTATCCTGCGCCTGCTGCCTCCAGAGACTGAGGATTGCAGTAAACACCTCCAGATTATGAGGGCAAACTTGGAAGAAGAGGTCAAAAGAGATTATTACTTCAGCCTCAAGGAGAGCATAGGTAAAAAAACAATAAAGTGGCGATGAAACTTTAATGGTGGTATTGCTTTATTTAGACTTTCTAAGCATTCCCCAGTATAACTTTAAGATATAATTCTAACTTCTACTTTTGTTTTGTCCACTGCTCTATTCAAACATTGTGTTGCGTCATGATTACAAAAAAGTACTATTCTTTCGCATATACGACCATATAACTTTGAAGAACTAGTCCCTCTAGTTGGAGCTTTAGTTAATCAATATTTAGTCTAAGGTGAATTACATTCTGTCAATCAGTCTGATCTAATTTGTCCTCCATGTTGTTCCTTCTCAGTGGACTACATTTTAATGGACCCATCTGAGCTGCAGAGACTGTCTATATCCAGCATCCCTAAGCCCTTTCCGAGGAGAGTGATCCGTCCCCCGGTGCCCTGGGCAGCTAGCTACAAGGAAACCCACATGTGGCAAAGCCAACATCTGTTTACTGTCAGTCAAATTATGGTCCTGCTGCAGGATGTCTGGCTTAACAGGTAACAGTCTTTATGTTCCAGTAATGTGGAAACACCTTTATTTAGGTAAGATTAGTTATTCAGTTGAATTCATATGTATCATATTGTTCATCCTTCATCCTCTTTTGTTTTTATTTCAGAACTTCAGCTTTTTTTTATTTTATGCTTTATTGTTTCTATTATATATTTGTTATCTTGCCTTGAGATTAACTCTTGTCTAGATAGATAGACAAATAGATACATAGATAAATGGATAGACAGACAGACAGACAGACAGACAGACAGACAGACAGACAGACACACAGACACACAGACACACAGACACACAGATAGATAGATGGATGGATAGACAGACAGACAGATGGATGGAAGGACAGACAGACAGACAGATAGACAGATGGATGGATGGATGGATGGATGGATGGATGGATAGACAGACAGACGGATGGATGGATGGAAGGACAGACAGACAGACAGACAGAAAGATAGATACTTTATTGATTCCAATTTGGGAAATTATTTTGTTACAGAAGCATCATCAGTGTATTCAATTAAAATTAAATAAAAAACATTATATTAAATATAAACAGTATACAAATTGATAATTACTACTTCTTACTACTAATTCTACTTAGAAGTTTTTTTCAGAATTTTTGTTGATGTGATTCCTTTAATATATGTGTGTCTTTGGGTACAAATCATGTATTTCATTATAATTAAATAAAAATCATAAAATGATTCTTGTTTCAGATTCTCATCCTTGAGATTTGTTCGACTGGAGGACCTTTTCTCCAAAAGCCTCCCCCTCCTGCCATCTGAGTTTGAGGAGTTTGTCCAGAGACAGTGCCAAAACACGAGAGAGCAACTGCTCCAAACGTGAGTACTGCCAATTCCCCAGAATCTACACAGCCAGACTTTCAGTTAGACCGTACATCGTGTCCAGACTTAATCATTGCAGCGTGTCTCTCATTGGCTTGTTGGTATGTACACAACAAGGACAGCTAATCCTGTTGTAGGTTCAGTCTCATGTTACCACCTTGTCCACTTTGTCAGGCCGGCTTTCAGGGGATTGCTTAACACACAGCCTCACTTTAGGATTCCATTGCACCCTTTGTTGCGTGCCTGTTGTATATCCTGTTCAACCATAGTCGCCCTGTAGGGCTGCATGACTAAAACATGAGCCGCTGTAATTTGTAGAAACTTGCTTCTGCTTGTTTCTATCCATGTACGTAATTTGCACCCGCTCAGTTATTCGGCAGTGCCTCAGTGTCCCATGCCAGCCGTACTCCATCCAGAGGACAGAATGTGTCTCTATGGGGTCGTGTAAACGTGCATAACATTACTGCAGTAACTAGTGCTTTCAGTAGGGCTTTTATTTAGTTAAGAGTGCAGGAAGTTCTGCAGGAGTTTTACTTTCATGTTCTTGGATGCAAAATAAGACCACAGGAAGAAGTACTCAGAGTATTTACTTAAGTGAAACTAGTAATACTACAGTGTAGTAATACTCCAATAGTAATTGTCCTGCAGTCAAACTAAACTAAACCAAAAGCATTAAAGCATCACCATCAAAATGTTCTTTAAGTACACAAAATAAAATACTAATCTTGCACTTCTGCCCATTTCAGAATAATATATGGTATGTTATTAAATAGAATTATTGATGCATTAATGTGTTCATCATTTAAGAAGTGCTTTTTAACTTTTGTAAAGCTTTTGTAAATGTTTATCCTAATAGATAATAATTAATAATAAACTATTTGTTGCATTATTCATCCAAATATGAATTTCCAAAGCCACTAAATCTGTAAGATAAATGTTGTGGAGACTAAAGTACAATTTTAAAGTATGAAAAAGTTAAAATACATGAGTAAAGTACAAGAACCTCAAAATTGTATTCAAGAACAGTACTTTAGTAAAAGTACTTAGTTACTGTCTTCCACTGATTACAGCAGAGAGACGACATATGTCCACCCGCGTTATGCGAAACAAAATACAAATTCAGACCTGTCACACTTTTTACTTTTTTACCATTTATATTTTTTATCCATACATCTTAAAACACTATTAATGGAAATATTTGTCATGTCAGTTATTTTTGTGCTTTAAAATGAAACACAAACCAATAGCTAGAACTAAAATGATCACGTCCATCTGCTTACAGTTGGCTGCCTCACTGTGCGTCACTCTTTGAGACCTTCGAGTACCTGTGGCTGCCTCTCATACCCAAGAGTGAGGATCTGGCTCCATTCAGCGTGCAGCAGTTCTTCAGCTGCGTCGCTGCTCTCATGTCCCTGCAGCTCCGAAGCTTGGTCCAAGACTCACTACAGGACCTGTTGTATTTCTTCTCCATTCACGAGGTTTGGACATCACTCGGAGTTGATTCATTTTTCACATTATTGTGTGCGAGGAGCACCCAAATGTATTCTTACTGTGTTCTTCAGGAGGGCAATGACTTTGGCGAGGTGTTTGATGAGATGACGTACGTTCAGCGTCAGGTGCTGCTGGTTAAGCTTCAAGTGGACGAGCCTCACATTGACTTTAGTCCGAGCTTTCAGGAATTATGGGAGTTCATCAACAGAGCCTTCATGGAAATCATCAAGAGTGCTGAGGAGCTCCCGAGGGTACAGCGTCCCCCTGGCAACACATTACGTTATTGACATTTATTTTGTATTACACAACACACAATGCTGTTTCTGTTTGTATCATTTGTGAATTATGCTCCCCAGGTGGAATGTTTCCTCTTCCCCGATATCCAGAACTTGTACCTACGCACCATCAGTCCCGATGAGTCCCTGGTGACAAACTTTATCGACAAAGCCAAGGACATTTTGCATAAGAACACTGTGGGGCCCACAAAGTAAACGCATATAAGTGGCATCATTTACTCTGATGTTCTGGCAAGTGTGAAAGAGCTGCTAATACTAAGTCTTTTTCTCCAGGTATTTGAATGAATATAAGAAATACAGCAATCTACTGGACCATTCAGCAAAGCAAGAGATATCAGCTTTCCTCGAAGAGAAACACTCCTTAGACGGATTTAGAACGGTGATTACACCCTCCATTGGAACACCTTTTGTGTTGGCAACTGGTCTTTGTGTCTAAGTGTCCAAGTCCTCTCTCCCTCTTTCAATCTTCAGAAAATTGACAGCGTTAACCACTTGTGGAAGGAGATTGCCTCGCTGCGTGTTACGGTGCCTATGTCCATGTTCTGTCTCTACGCTGGCAAGCTGAATGATGACCTGTGTGACCGTGCTGAGAAACTGAAAGACCAGATCGTCATGTTCGAAGTGGAGGAGAACCGCGAGCTGAATAAGGGGTGAGTGGAAACTCTCTGCGTCCTTAAACTTTTCTAACCTGAACATCAAGAAGGGCCTTTTACAGAAAAACTTTTATATGTACACATGGGTTTGAAGAGAGAGAAGGTCAACCACAAGCTAACCTTCTTTCCCAGGATCTGTCAAAAGTACCAGGAGATTACCGAGACCGTCAGAGGCATCCCAGAAACTACAGATGAGTTGGTGTCTCTCAACCAGTACATTAAAAAGACCAGTGATGTGACCATTCACAAGTTGATAGATGAGATTGAAGCGGCAGTATACCGCCTCAGCTTCCTCCTGGACTATGCCACTCTACCCTGTATGTGAAACCTCTCATACCACCATAGAAAACACATTTTCTTTTACATTTCATTCACGTTTGAGTATACAGTAAATCCAAGCACATATGAACCAATGTTGGAATAAATGCAATTATATACGTCCTTTCTTTTCCTCTAGCTGGTGACTTGAGGTTGAACTCCTGTGTTTTCAAGTGGCCCAGTCAAATCCTGACTGAGCTTGACAACAACAAGAATCGTCTGGACTCCTTGAAACTACAGGCTGAGAACTATCTCCAAACCAGGTTACTGAGTATACGTCTTTCACACAAGTTGCAGCCACTACAGCTACTACAGCTCCAGCTAAGTGGTGTGTCCCTCCTCAGCTCCACCAAGTCACCAACCAGATCATATTTTTTGTCTCCAGAAAGAGCAGAATTCCAAGTTCAACTTTCAACACATCCTTTCCAAAAATCTGTGTAATGTCAGACAATTTCCATGTTTTTAAATATCTATTTTTCACACATCCCTCTTACAACTGCTTTAACACTAGAACCGCCAGAGGTCGCTGTATACCTAAAACCGCCAACGGGTCAAATTGACCCGCTATTGATTTTCAAGGTACAATGTTCTTTCATTTATCATACAGAAGAGTGAGTTTTGATCGCACAGGGAAGAAACTTATACCAATAGAATCTGTGGACTCTCAGCTTTTCATATGATATAGTTTGTGCAGATAGCATGAAGTATAAAATATCGCTACCAGTGCTGATTTAAACGCTTGATGTTAGACTTGTGTTTTGTTTAGGTACAAATCTCTCTATCTATCTCTCTCTCTCTATCCATCTATAACTATCTAACGATCTATCTATAACTATCTATCTGTCTATCTCTCTCTCTATCCATCTATAACTATCTAACGATCTATCTATACTATCTATCTGTCTATCTCTCTCTCTACCATCTAAACTATCTAACGACTGACTGTAGTCTACTAACTATCTAACGATCTACTATATCTATCATATAACTATCTATCTCTCTCTCTGTATCTATCTATCTATTTCTGTCATAATCTTCTCTATCTATCTATAACTATCTATCGATCCATCTAATAACGTATCTTAGTATCCCTCTTTGCGTGCGTATCATATCTTGTGAGGTGCGTATCCTGTCTATCCTCTTATCTCTCTCCTCTATCTAATCAAATATCAATATCTCTCTCTCGAATCTCTCTCGGGCGGTGCGTGAGGGTCTATAAGGAACCGCAGTAGACAAAGCATTGCATATAGCAACACGTCATGTTTCACTCTGCAATTTCTATGAGGTTAAATATGACGTGGCCTCGCTGAGCGTGATATGAGTATAAATGGCATTTTTTTGGGCAATTTTCTTCAATCTGACTTCATATGACAACTTTTAACAACAGAGGATGCTACATAACACACTTTCAGAAAAAGTCACGGACTGGGAGACTTGAAATTTTATGAAAAAAAACAGCTGTGGGTAAAAAAATTTAACCCGGTTGGCGTTCTAGTGTTTAAGAGTCCCCAGCATCCACCTAACCTCCTAATGTCTAACTGTTCAGAAAACTGTGTCGCTTTGCTCTGATACTCCAAAAAGGGGACTGTTAGTGGCTCCTAACGCGTAACAACCGAAATGACATTCATATCTCCGTTTCACTGTCTCAGGACTATTAGAATTAGCTTATAAGCCTGGAGAATGTGGACAAGGCATACAGGCATTCAAGAGGAAGACAGTGGATGAACATGAGGAGATGGAAGAACAATGCTGGGAAATCTAATGAAATCACTGCAAACCTCGGAGGCTGCTGTCACAGAAAAAAAAAAAAAAAAAAAAATCTAGAGTAAGAGATGGTTCTGACCACCACAATTGACATATTTGGTTATCCCTCCTTTATAAAAGTAGGGATTATTTAAAGTGAGCAAGAGACTATGGCCCATTTAATTAAATATAAAATGTACAGGTGTGAAGTTATAATCCAGAGAAACTATGGAGCTGTGAGTTCTCTACCAGTCTGAGGTGATTTGTTATACAGAGTTATTGCACGAGGCAGGAATGTTTCCTGTATTTGTTTTTGTGACACAAACCCAGCAGCGAGCCCTGACGAGAAAGAATCCCAAAAACAGAAACTGTTTGAGAATCAATACATGAAAAGAAATAAAAAAAAATGAATCCAAAAACATTGCTATGGACACACCTAATTGACCTCACAACCTTACCCAGCTAACATACTGTAGTATATATTGGTACAGATAGGTACACAGTAAAACCTGTTATAATAAGAGCAGTACAATCTCCTGTATACAGGCAATCAAACAATGAGCAGACTTCTCGCTGGAAAAAGGGAACAAAGAGCCAGTTCACCGCAAGGGTCAAACAAAAACCAAAAACAAACAACAAACAAAAAACAAACACAACAAAAAACAATCTGATAGCTGACAAACAGCCATTATGACAGGCTCTGGACCACGAGAGCACTTCAGAACTTTCGCGTGCATGATACAAGCCAGACGTGGGAAACCAAAAGAAAAAATTAACAAACATGAAGATAGAGCCGACTCCACCACTTTATTAAAATTTTAAAATATACAGCACTGAGGAACAACTGCATTTTAAAAAAACTACATTAAATGGCCACAAAAATAAACACCTCACTTGCCAACGAAAAAGTAGACTGAAAGAGAGCCAGAAAAAAAAGACTCAGCTGAATTATTCCAAACAAGAAAACCAAAAACAAAAAAGAAAAAACCAACACAACAAACACATAAAAAAAGAAAAAAAAAAGAAAAAACCAAAAAATTGATGACTTTCAACTGATAAATTACCATCATTAAGGCGACCAACTTATCCATGCAGACTGAGATGGACTAGAAGAAAATCTCCAGATGAGCGCTGGGACCACTCATGTTGGAAGAGGACCAATGCACCAATAAAATTGACTGAATTCTTGTCTGAATCTTCCCGGAGCACTTGGTCGGGATTAGCGAAAAAGCTTCAGAAAAAAACCTTTAAGCATTAGATATGAGTTCAAGCAGCCCTGCCCATTCCTGACGGACCATCTGTAACCCCACGGCATCAAAGAGCGCCCCTGGAGACGGGTCAGCTGAAACCCTTTCATTCTCACTAGATCATCTGGATAGAAATGGCTAGTGGTCACATTGTAAACCCTACTAAAAATACATCCGTGTGAAATCCATGAGGGATAAATAAAATGTACAAAACACATTTGTCTGGAACTAAACAGAATCAGACAGCATTGTGGAGCTTTGTGTCAAAAAAAAAAAAAAAAAAAAAAAAATGATGGAAAAAAAAAAAAGAATATAAAAAAAAAAAAAAAAAAAGAAAAAAACAACAAAAACAACAATCAACAAAACAAACTTCAAAAACAAAAAAACAAAAAAAAAAAACAACAAAAAACAAACAAAAAAAAAAACAACAGAAAAAAAAAAAGAAACGGGGGCACAGGAAGGGAGAGTGCAGAAAAGGGATAAAAAAAAACAAAAAAATAACAAAAAACAAACAAAAAAACAAACAACAAAAAATAAAAAAGAGACAACAAAAAAAAAAACAAGAAAAAAAAAAAAAAAAAAAAAAAAAAACCAACAAAAACACCGCGACGTGAGCAGCTCACTGCTGGAACAACATGTTAGAGCATAGGGAGAAACTTTCCAAGTTTCTACCAAAAAGTAAGACACTTTTTTGACAGTACACAATGTTTGAATACATGTAAAGAGAAAAATAACTGTTAAAACCCAACCATGGTTTAAAGTGGACCAGAGTTATGGAAATCATCATACTAGAAGCTCGACAAAAATGAAATGACCTCATGACCCTTCAGGGTAAGGAAGCAGATTAGGAGGCAGCAGAACTAAGTAAGGGAGTACTCTTTGGAAAAGTCCAAATGAGACAAAGACTAGAAAAAGTTGAAAATGGAAAACCGAGCTTCAACCACATGATTCCTCGTTCAACGCCATACAGAGATACAAAATATGAAAATGCAGATACAATTGTCAATATATAATTATAATAAGTGGATTGATATTTTTACTACTCCCAAAGAAATAATTTACATTTTAAATATTTACAAGAAATTGCATGTTGGTTATAGATACTGTCACCAGCTCAAACTGCCCATCATTTCATGCCCAACAGTTTGACATTAACCTGTATTAAATACTGTGTTAGATATTTCATTATAGAGGTGTAACCGAATATTAGTGTCAAAAAAACAAAAGCTACGGAATGGATATCCAAACTCGCTTCATTAGAACCATGCACCACGTAATTAAGAACACAAAAAACCACCAAAATCACAAGAAAAACCAGACATAATGACAAGAGGATCAACACATTAAAATCCATTAAGCCCATCGAAGGCTGAATGCAAGGTAAGACATGACGCCAGCTCTCCAAAAAATCTTAATGAAAGGAAATAGAAGAGCCAATCAAAAATACCATAAAATAAGAATTTGTGTAGTTAATTGAAAAAAAGATAACCATGATAGTGTGCACGTTCTGAACCAACTAGCACAGCTCACAGAAGTAAACTCCTCGTGTTTGAGATAAAAAGGGACTGCCTGAGCACAACTTATCATGCCAGAAACAAAGTAACAAAAATGCCATGTTCAATCATACAACAACTCGCAGACTGCTCGACAACCACTCTAAATAACAAACCAAGATGGAAAGTGGCTTTGCCAA